GGAGAATCTGGAAGTAAAGGTAAGATCATCAAAGATTTTTTTATTATGTATTTTTGTATTATCATGTAACATTTGTATAATGAATAACTGTCATACAGGAGATGAAGGTTTCCGTGGTCTTCGTGGTGAGAGAGGTGAGAAGGGTTCTAGAGGAATACCTGGGAAGAAAGGTGTCCCTGGTTTTCCTGGCACTAAGGGCATGATAGGGGAACGTGGCAGCGGAACAACCCCTGGACTTGATGGTGAACAAGGTGCCTATGGGATAAATGGAGACAAAGGTATAATGGGTTTTTTTTTGCTAATTTTGTGCCTGGTTTTGTAAATAGCTATCTAATTTTGCTATTTCTGCATTGTTGCATCTATTAAGTCATTATGAGATACATTAATAGTACATGCTACATGTTTGATAATGAGATTTACAAAGTACTCCAGCAAATAGTAAAATCCTGTAGCGTGTGTAGCATTGGCCCAGAGTGAGTATTTCAAAGCTTACTACAATCCCAAGTGWCGTCGGATTATTCTTACAATCATAATTCCTATCAGTGCACTTAGAACAATATTTYAATCATTTAGTAATGAAAATATTTTTTCCAAGGTCCAAAAGGTGATCCTGGTCCTGATGGAAATCCAGGAAAACAAGGAGAGGAAGGAAAGGCTGGACCTGTTGGTCCWATAGGATTGCCAGGTGTTGGTGGATTAGGTGTAATAGGTCTACCTGGACCTAAAGGSGACAAAGGTATTCCAGGGAGCGGTACAAAAGGAGTTCCTGGAGTTACTGGAGAGAAAGGCTTACCCGGAGCTCCCCAAAGAGGTATGCAATCATTAGATGTATTCATACTCTTTATAAGACAATTCAGTATCAATGGTAATACTAAATTATCAAAAAAAAAAAAACAGTTTTGATTATCAAAAACAGTCTTATCAAGTTAAGTAATATTCCTATTTGCAAATTCTCTTCAATAACTTTTTACACGTGCGACCTGTAGTAAAATGCTGCTACTTTCTTGGTTAGTTTTTTTTTTCACAATGTCGAAAGTTTGGCTTCGGTACATCTTTGTAGCCAATCACATTTTGAATTATATATCCAGTAGCCAACGCTAAAGGCTACCCATAATCGCTTTCACTCACATTTTCAACTTGTACTGCACACTACTCTTTCATCCGCCATTTTGATGAGTATTGTCTCTACTAGTGATATGTATTAGAACATGAAAGTTTACGACCAAAATCTGTCACTTATTACTCGTGTTAGGATCAAGGTTATGATGACAAGGAGATCTCAAATACAGAGATCAACACGCTTACTACTCGCATGAAGCAATGGCCATGAAAAACGAGCAGACAAGCCAGTTATGATTGCAAAACTCTTCTGAATATGCATTTCTCTATTTCCTCGCTTATTATTATGATTGAATATCAATAAAACTCTAAAGAAATGCTTATATATTTTGTCTCTTCACACATCTGCAATGGATATGTTGAGTATTTATAAATATTGTGATACAATCATAACAGAAAGTTAATAAGTCACTAGTTATATATCTGACCCTAAAATTATACTGCAGAATCGCAAAGGCGGATACTGCTGAACTTTTATCGCAAAAATTACATATATCTTGGCAAGGCTCAAAGGATCAAATCATTTTATATTTGTATCATTAAGGTTTTAAAAGGCCTCATTTACTAATGATTTGAACAACATCATGTGCAACAAAGGGCACGTGTAAACCCGGCTGCAAACACGGTCTAGTTTGAAAAGTAAATTAGGATCTACAAACCATGAAAATCAATTCATCATGAATATTTTTTTTATGCTTCTATATTAAAACCCAGGTCCACCTGGAGATCCTGGAAATCCTGGCATAAATGGAACAAATGGCGCCCGTGGCTTAAAAGGAATGCAGGGACCACAAGGTTTTGTTGGCCCTCGAGGCCCCAAGGGTGATCTCGGTAAAAAAGGTGTTAAGGGAATACCTGGAAAAATTGGTGAGTATCAATTTTATTTATACATAATGTTCCATGCAGATTACCTGTATATAGTTATTGATGCCTATCATTGTAGATAGATAGCATGGCTTGAAATAACAGACAATTTTCTGAATTTCCTGTCATAATTTTCAGTGTAGTCACTGTTCTGTTATTGTTATGCACTGTCATGAATTGATCAATATAAATGTAGTATGYATTTTCATATGTGACTCAATTTAAATCACGAATCATCAATGAAAAAGCTACGTAATATAATGATTTTTAAATCCCTATTTGACTTGATCCGACAATGTGTCCTGAATCAAGATTTATACGTAAATCACTATAGTTCTTTTGATTCATTTAGGGAAGTTGACCCTAAAAAATTAGGTTTTTCATATTCATATGATATGTAGAATTGCTGTGTTATTATCATCATTGGCAAGTAGATGTTTTTATTAGGATGTACGACTACCCCATGTAATATATTAATGTAGTTCTATGGTTGTTTTTTTTTTTTTTAGTTTGTGGTCAGGAGGCTGCTGACTATGCCTTCTTGATTGATGCATCTGGAAGTATCAGAAGTTATGAGTTCAGATTGCTTCAGTCTTTCATTAAAGATATCATTGAGTTCCTTCAGATTTCTGAAACGAAAACCCACATTGGTTTGATTGAATACAGCAGTAGTGCAAAGCTTTGGCTTCAATTTAATGATACCTATGATAAAGTTGAAGTACAGAGAACAGTTGATGACATACTACACACTAGGGGTCTGACAAGAATTGATTTGGCACTCAAGATTGCCACTGAGAAGCTATTTACTATTCAAGGTGGAATGCGAGTAAATGCAAGAAAGGTAATCATTTTTACTATAAATTATTATTATTGTTGTTGGGATTCCTGTGGCTACATTCATACTGCCCAGTATGAATCTATTTTAAGACATTTAATTGACCATATGAAAAATAGAGCAGCAGACTGGGAATGAGCACCTTTAACGGTCCATGTTTTTAAAACTCTGTTTTCACGATAAGAAAGAGTATATATAAACTAGTGAATTGGCGTATTTTTAGTTTCAAATGGTAAAATGTTCTTTCAACAGGTAGTAATGATATATTATACAACACGTTACAATAGCCACACCCCTTTTTACATGATGCAGAGGTGAATTCAAATTCCAAAGGCAATGAAATCTCATCATTTTCAGTGTAATGTGTTTTGCATTATAGACATTCCTGGTTTGGTTTTCAAAGGGTATATTGACAGTATCAATTATATAATATTAGCTGTATGCAAACCATTACATATATAATAAGCATTGTAATATATCATTAGTTCGAAGATTTTGAATGCTTTAATATCTATCCAAAATAATACAAAAACCATCTGTTCTATGTGCCACCCTACTTGCATGTGGCATCAAAGCAGATTCATCTGAAGGGCAAGATTTTATGCTCTCTTGAGAACTAGAATCCATTGTTTGGTCCTCCAGTTTGAATTGCATTCCCATGAACTTCTAGGGGTTGATAGTCATCAATAAGCATTAATTTCAATTTAGATATATGCAACTTTTCTGTAGTATGTTGTCTGATATGTGAAATCAGTTAAGTTTACTGCCATAGGAAACCCATTTTTAGAACCTATAAAGCTTGWAATAATGATGCTAGCAGATGGAATTTATAAAGGAAGAAATTCAATTTCCTCATCAACCAAGATCTAATTGAGAATACATGTGTTGTCATACCTTGGATGTGGATAGATCTAATTGTTTAAAACCCATGTTGTATGTATGTCATTAGAATAAAGTGAAAAAACCAGAGAAATATATATTTTATACACACTATCACACTAATTGTCATTATTGTTTCACAGGTTTATTGACTTAAGTCTACTAACCAGGAACCTTAATTTGCATAGGTCGTCATTCTTCTAACAGATGGAAACCAGACTGGTGAAGATAAATTGGGATTTTCAGTGTCACTTAGTGATTCTATAAAACCATTGAAAGAATTAGATGCTAAGATAATTGCTGTAGCTATTGGTAGTGTTGACAAGAGACAACTTCTGGAAATGGTTGAGGATGAGAAGGATATCCTCACTCCAAAGAACTTTGATGATTTGAGAAACTATGTCAAAGAAACTATTTCTTATTCTTGTCGTGGTGAGTAGAGTATTTATTGAGTTGTGCTGTTTTCAGCCAAACAGCACCTAAACAAAAACCCTGTATATTTGAACTGTATCCCCTCATAAGAGAGTATTAATGTTGTATATTACATTACGTGACAGCCTTTGTTCTTGATTAAGCTTTGACCAGTCTGATAATAACCATTATATAGTATGTAAGTGTGGTATGATCGTCCAGGTGCGAGAATCCTGTGTTCAAGTCATCTTCATCACTCTCGAGACTTCTCACACCTATATCGCTTACACCTGCATTCAGACCATTTACTCTCATATACAGGTTTTATATYTTATATTTATCTAAGGTAATGGCAATATCTCTTCTTTATATCCTTCTATTGTAGTCACACTCGTCAAATTGCTCTTATAATCATCTCAGCAAATAGCATAGGGCTTGTTGCACAATTTTAAACTATTGTGACTTTGAGTGTGGATGTAATATTTATATTAACTAAATGCTCATTTTTAACTCAGGGATTGCGTTAGCAATTGGAAAGTTATTGTGGGGGACAATCTGTCACTCACTAAGTCACTCACTTTCCTGTAAACTGCATTGTTAACTTAGTGCACTGCTCTCTTTTGAATTATTAATTTTTATTATTAATACCAGCTAGAAATTCATCTTCACGGTCTATCTGTTTCTACATGTATGCCTTGGGGTTCAAACTCCGGACATCTTGAATCAATAGCAGAGATGTTACCACTAGAACATGTGCCATTAGCTATTACGTCATGATTTTTACTAGCTTCTATGTGACACCAGATCAAACGAAGGGTTTCCTGTGTCATAATCAATAAAACTGCTCCTACGAGGAGCAAAATGTGTTTGAAATTCTATTCTTTGGCGTAAACTGTRCAAATTGAAAGAAGTTTTTAAACTGCGTATCGACATGAAGCTTCTTGAGTAAATATCCATCTCCATGCAAAAGCAGCTCTCACAATCTTTGAGTAATGTTGGCAGCTTGTTTTCATGTTCCTCAAATGCACCAATTTTAAAAAAGAAAATAATCAGATTTGATACCTAATCGTTTTCTTATTTAAAGGACCACCTGGAGATGATGGTCGAAGGGGCTTAAAAGGGAAAGTTGGTGACTCAGGATTTCCAGGATTTCCAGGAATACCAGGCATTCCTGGAGTTTCTGGTGAACAAGGAGCAAGAGGTTTACCTGGTCCACGAGGTGTATTAGGTGGTATAGGTGAACCTGGTGATATTGGAGAAAAAGGTTATGCTGGTAAGATTGGTAACTTATAACATGTACGATATGATGTTTCAAAGCTTTCGTTCTCATTTTTTGTGGAATGCATTTCAATATCCTTAGTCTAACTTAATAATGGTAATAAAGAAATTACACTTCTTTCGCTGTTTTCGTGGCATTTATTTTTTTCTTGCTTTTTTATGAAGGATTCTCATGCTGCTKAACATGCAGTGTGAACGTGATAAATTTTTATTCAAACGAAACGCTCAAAAATCAGAAAGGTTTTTGTTCTTTTTTGTCTTTTACTATGTTTTTTGTATGAATAATATATGTTTTAATTCAAGTTTTTATGCTTCATTTTTTTTTTTCATTTTTGTCCGGTCAAAACTAGAACATGTCCGGTCAAAATTGTATTTTAAGCCGTTATATTAAGCCCTGACATAAAGCAATAACACTGCATAAACCAGGAAAACGAGAAGTATACCAGTAACAAAAATACTAATAGGATATACATTAATATAAGGAAGCCAGGAAAACAACAAAAGAACTGACAAATTAACCAAGAATATTTGTTGTAGGATCTGTCACAGCTGGTCCAGTTGGTATAAAAGGTAATCCTGGTGATCCTGGAGATCCTGGTTATCTTGGACTCAAAGGCACAATGGGTAAGAAGGGTGAGCAGGGTGTGCAAGGCTTTCCAGGAGTACAAGGGCCAGAGGGTAAAAAAGGAGTCACTGGAGATGAAGGTGGTGAAGGTGAACAAGGATCATATGGAAGACAAGGTCAGCTCCTGCTAGTTATCTTTTGACTAGCTGTGTACCCATTGCGTTTCTGAATTTTATCAAAATACTAACTGATATTACTTAGGTTTATTATATTCAATATTCAAAGTAACAGCTAAGATCAGGTTTATTGTATTTATTTGGATTTATAGGCGAACCTGGTCGAAATGGTGTTCCTGGTGAAAAAGGAGACATTGGGGATGATGGACTTCCAGGGCTATCAGGAACCAATGGAGTGAGAGGTCGTGATGGTGTTCCTGGTGAACGAGGTAATTTTGTCCTTCTCATCATGATTATTATTTTTTATAACAATGACTTTTGGTCTTTTGATGCTGTAAGTAGTAGAGAATTCAGCAGCCTGAGCAAAGATGGTAAAATATCTTCCTTCAGATTATGAAATGCATTCAGACAGTCATAGAGTTCATTGCTGTAAATTKATTTTTAGGTCAGCCTGGACAACGTGGTGAAAATGCAGAAGGTCCCCCTGGTGATCCTGGCATACTTGGTAACACAGGACCACCTGGAGGATCTGGCAGCAAGGGAGCTCTAGGTGAAAGAGGACCACCGGGCTTACCTGGACAGTCAGCTCAAGGACCATATGGATCACCAGGTAAGATCTTGCATCAATTAGTTTTTGCCCCACCATCTACTAATGTGTAATAAAATTTCTAGAATTCATTAATAATTCATGAGCTATTAGTCCAATGAGCATTGAACTATTGGGTCACATGATGGGATATATCCTGATAAAGCACTGGATGTTTTATTAATCATTTTTATCRTAGCAATTCATTTTATTAATATTTACAAGGCGCGTTGATGATACTCGAACAGTTGGGCGTTGTCGAAGCACATCTCAAGAACTTTTTTTTCTTCTTTCTTTTTAAATATAATATTTTCTGTAGATTTTGTTTTTAAAACAATTATTTTCGAGCCATTATTTTGATTTTTACACAAACTATCGTGCTCGAATAGCGTCCAACTTAGGATCGCTGGTTAGATCTTGACCAGATCACTTCTAAGCAATTCTTTTTTCTTTTCTTTTTTTACTGAAATATACTTATTCTTATTTTTCCTGTAGATATTTGTTTTACATATTTTACACTCAAGATCATACTTGAATAGCGGCGTTGAACTTAAGATCTCGGGTTCGACTCTCAACTCGAGCAGCTTCTAACATTTTTTTTCTTTCTTTCTTTGCAAACTTTAATCTTATAGTAAATTCTCTGAGGATAATGCGAATGCAATCTGAATGCTAAATTTTCGCTGCAATGATAAAAATATTYAGAAAATGATATGATAAGATCATACGCAAAATCTATCAAATTGATTGCGGCGCTGGTAAAAGTATATATTACTGTAGCCTGTTCCACCAAGTGGATCTATAACACTACATACAGTAATAGATATATGGTCCTGAGAGATTTCACAAGTGATCAATGATAACAATTTGTGTTGTAGGTGTTGATGGAGAAAAGGGTGAGAAAGGAGACCCAGGCCGATATGACTCTGATGTACCTCTACCAAAGGGAATCAGTGGTGAAAAAGGTGGTTCTGGAACAAATGGTATGCCAGGAAAGAAAGGAGAACCTGGTGAACCTGGACCTGATGGAAAGAGTGGAGGTTCTGGATTCAAAGGATTCAAAGGTAACCAAGACAACAAAACATAGATTTACTGTTGGCCAAACATCTAGACTATCCTGATAATAATAACTTTATTTAATGACAGTAGCTAGTTTAGTCAAAGCCTAATCTACCACTGGGACATCAGATATAACACTCACACTCCTTACCTCTACATTAATTATTTTAGTACACARCACTCATCACAGTTAGCTTTTGACAGAGGGAGAAAAACCGGTGTACCTGGAGAAAAACTGGTGTACCTGGAGAAAAACTATTGGAGCTGCAGAGAGAACTACCGTATTTACTCACATGTATAAGCGGTTCTCGTAGATAAGCCACACCCCGAGTTTTAGGAACGTTTTTGAGGGGGGRAAAAAGGTGGAAAATACAATTTTCTCTTTGTGACTGCCACCTGCAAATACAGTTTTCGTCGATTTTAAAGTGCCTTCCCACTGCTCAATGTCCATGATCCTTTGCGTATGCAATTACGATCAGTTTAAAATGTGTGGTGTATGATACTATTGGAGTTTCTAGACATAATTGTTTAGAWTGATAATTGATACTATATAAAGAGTTATTTTTCATTCAAAAGATAAAAGGAAACTAGTAATAAGTGATAAATATCTCATCATGCCGCCATGCTTCCAAACAAGTCTTTTTTGTGCTTCCCAGGAAAACTGTTTCATATTTCAAAAAAATACGAAAGAATATGGATATAAGGAACAATTTGGTAGGCCTATTTCTTGGATATTCATAATGTTCATCCTGAATTCTTCACTTTAAGTGTGACAAAATCGCTTAAATCAACAATGCTAAAAAGCATAGTGTTAACAAAACAACTCCAATACAAAAGGATTGAAAATGCTCCTTCCGTTCATAGGCTCCATAACCATGCACTTTTCAGTTTGATTTATTGACACTTGTTTCTCATAGTTAAATTTACAATAATTTATAGTAATACTGACAAGTTTGCATTAAAATATCTCTGTTCAAGGTGTGTAAAACAAACTTATCACACTATAATGTCCTAGACAATTAATGCRTCACCAACTGTCTGTAGTAAGTAGCACAGTGAATGCTGAATAAACACTTTACAACTATGAATTTTATAAGCATCTAAAATGCATTCTATAAACAACAGAACGCTAAAATAGAAAAGCCGATTTTTGATTTATGCAAATTAKCTAGTTTTTTTGGTCTTCTCGTAGATAAGCCGCACCACCGATTTGGGAATKATATTTTTGGAAAAAATGTGTGGCTTATACATGATTGAGTAAATATGGTACTTAACAAATCATATATAGTCCCCTAACTTGAATTCAAAGGATCACAGCAATGATAGTGCATTACAATTGATCCACTCATTCTACTCTAATAGATATGCTCCCTYATAAGAATATATTGCATGGCAAAATTGTATAAGCAGAACATTTTAGATTAATGAAAGCTTGACATGGGGTGTTCCACAAAGTGGTTCTTGTTAATTGATTAAATCAGTTCGTTGGTCTATTGCTTGGCAGTTTTTAGTGTTTGAGTACATGTCACKTCMCYAAAGGGAAYGCTGTGTCAACCGGCCAAGAGACAGATGGTGTTTGGTTGTAATCAAGCTTTATTATTCTGGTTGACCTCTCCACACTATACTCCCAGCGGTGAAAACTACAATAATRCATACACAACTACTTATATAAAGAAAAACATATAATTAAGGCATGCAATAAGTGAAATCAAGGATAACTTACGTTTGTACTGGTACAAGCTCTTATGAAACAAGAATAGTAAGAAAGATAGCACTGATATAACCTCGTGAAAACTACTAAACGTAACTGTAACGCAAAAGATCATAYTACAAATACGTAAGCTATTGGGTGACTGAACGATAAAAAGGCTAAATATACACAYGACGTAACAGTACATATAGCTGAATGGAWGTTAAAGAGATTATACACCATTTTAACATGTTTTGTGTTGAAGGTCCACGAGGAGCTCCAGGATCTACTGGTTTAACTGGTCAAAAGGGAGAAAATGGTGAAACTGGTCTTAAAGGTTTCCAGGGACCAAGAGGAGAAAATGGTTTAAGTGGAGAACAAGGAGGAGGTGGAGAGTTTGGACGTGATGGTGTTCCTGGAACACGAGGAGAACCTGGTGAACAAGGTCTACTTGGAGAACCAGGCATTAATGGTAAACCAGGTAGACCTGGTACTTCAGGTGATATAGGATTGAAGGGAGCAGATGGAAATCGTGGTGAAGCAGGCCCAAGAGGACCACCTGGTGATGAAGGACTTGCTGGACTAGAAGGGTTTCAAGGGGAAGCTGGTAGACCTGGTAGACCTGGGCSCCGTGGTCCAGAAGGTGACAGTGGTCCAATTGGTCCAAAAGGTGATTTTGGTAGKCAAGGTGCAACTGGCTTTAATGGTTTCCCTGGAGAAAAAGGAGCTGCAGGTACAATATAGCTGTATTTCACTAGTCATGTGCGGTCTATTTGTTATCATATTA